TCTGAAGTATAATTTTTTATTGTTTTTATATTTTTCAATATATATTTTGTTTGTACAAAATAAAAAAAAATAATTTTTAACGATACAATAGTCTTCGTTAGGCTTAACATCGACGAAAATTCAATGCGAAGCGACACGCAACGGAGAAAAATTTCAACACGGGATAAATTAATATATTTTTTCGTACATAATTAGTTATCCGAAAAATAATAAGTTATCCGAACAACCCCAGTCCCCAATTTATTCGGATAAACGACGCTCTACTGTAGTTCTAACCCATATCTTTTTTCTATTTATTAATATTAGGTGAATTGTTGTAATTTGCTGCGAGAAAGAAGCTATGTTATATGTTATTCACAATTTATATTGTGTTTATTATTGATAAGAGAGATTAAAGTTGAGCAAAAAAAAAAAAGTTAGGAACAGGTTAGAGACGGGGGATTAAGACAAAATAAGAAAAAAGTGAACTTTTAAGAAATTTGCGGGATTTTCCGGGATTCTGGGATAAGAACCGGGATCCCGCAGAAAAATTTAAATTTAAAATATTTTTGAATTTAATTATAAAATTATTTCTTTCCTTTTTACATAACTTAATAATTTAGTTTATTTTAATATTTAAACATTTTTTTTTTAAATTATAATTTATATAAACTTAATTATGTATGACGTGTTTCCGGTTTTGTATGTTTTGGCGGAAAATTGTATATGTTCGAATTGTCCGTTGCTCGTGTTAACTGAGATAGAAGACTGCAGTCCAGTTTACGAAATTTTTAACTAATTTTTTAAGTATTCCATTTTAAACATTTTATTGAAAATGCCTCAAAGATCGGTTTTATATGAGCGAAATGAATTGTAAGTAATTTTCTTTTAGTAAACATTGCATTTTACTCTATGGAATATTACTGATTGATTTCTTTGTTATTGAAAATTATTTTTTACTTTTAATAATTTCTTAAAACTTTGAATTTTCATAATTGAAATAAGAGTTTGAGAGGATATTCGAGATTAATAATTCATTACGAATGCTTTATTTATTTTAATTTGATTTACTTTTAATGAATCCTAATCAGGGCCTAATTCAAGCTCTGAATGATACTTTTGTGACGTTAACAGAGCTGTAGAGCATATTCATATGAACAAAAAAGTCAAATGAATCATATCTCTATGTGTGGCCCTTTGTGAGATATTCTCCTTCAGAGTTTTCAGTAGTGTGGTCTACTACCTATTCTTCGTGCTCCGTGTTGGTTTAATTAAGGCTGCCATTGATAGTATTGCCTTCTGCGCCATGAGTAGTCGTGCTCTTTGGTGCTTGCTGTCGCTCACATTTCTCTGTACGGGTGGGGCAAGCAATCCCATCCCTGACTATATAACAAAAAGTACATGAACGGTCAAGTGGGCTATTCAAAGCCTACTTATGTAGCCCATAAACAATCGATAAAATTTTGCTTAAATAGTTTATCTCTGTAATAATTCGGCGTTTTGTATTCTTTATTCTTTACCCATAAATATCATTAGAATATCTGACCACTGAATTGCCTGTTAAACATGTGATAAACTTAGCAAACTGTATAGTGTTACTCCAATTGTACCCCATTGTTGGTAAAAGACAGTGATTTTCATGTCTTGGGAGCTTTTAGCCATCACTAGTAAGGTCAAAAATAGTCAATTTTTAGCATAGTTTTAAGAAATAGTTCTAAAATTTTCACTTTTAAATTTTACCACATTATTGAGGGTCTCCAAAATTCAAGAGCGGCTGATTTTGGGAGGCTGTATCTTGCAAAAGGTCACATGTAGACATTGGATCCTTTGACTTTATTCCTGTGGGACATGGTCAGGGGAGGCCCTAGCAAGGTTTTCAGGTGGTGTGAGATTTCATTGTGGCACCCCACTGTAGAGACTAAAGATAACATACACTTTTTACATTATTAATAACTCAGACCTTTGAAAGATTAGCATAGTAGTAGTAGTAGTAGTAAAAAGTGTAAAAAGAAACAATATTTGTTTGAAAAGGTTAACAGTCTACCGAGTCAGTAAAGAAATGATGAAAGTAGTGGTATTTCAATGGCGGCCCTGAGGAGGACCTCCCACTTATGCTACACCTCTACAATGTTAAGTGCGAATTTCATGCTACATGTGTATACCTTTGAAATGCACACAATCCAGCTCACTGCTGTATAGAATTTATTTTGGTGGGTAGGGTTAAGTAGTAATAAGGTGATTGGGTTTTATTTTTTGCACAGACAATCTAGCATTGCATTTCCTGCACCCCCTATGACAGAGCCTGGTGCGGTCACACTGCCCCTGGGCATGGTCTACAGCTCTGATAGTCCTAATTGCCTCATTCAGAGCTCAACTGTAGCAAAAATACAAAATAAAAAGAAAAGTTTCAAATGTGGATATCATAAGCTAAAAGTTTACAATAGTGCTTAAAATAATGAAAATTGCAGTATAAAAGATGTTCAACAGTAAACACATTCTGAACACCTGGGGGAAAAATGATCTTAATAGATTAAACCTATGAAAAGGAGTCAAAAAGCCTGAATTATTTCTTATTCTTATTTCCGAGGAGGAATTCTTAAGATTATTGTAAAACAACAGATCATTAAAATATTTATAGAACAAAATCCTATCAAAATATTAATGTAATGAGATAAAGTATGTGCTCCTGGACTGGATCTAACAACTTCATAATATACGAAAAGCAAATTGGAGAATTTGTAAAATTTACTTCCCCTTTAATAAAGTTCAGTATTAACCTTTTTGAAGGAGACTAGAAGTTTCAGATGTTCAGATTGATAAACAATAGTCAATAATTGACAAAGTTAGGGGAAAAAATATCTTGAAGGATATTTACATGAGAGGATATTACAATATTGTCTCTAGAGATTGTCTCTTCAAATAGCTAAACATTTAATAATACAATTGATTTGTTGTTTAAATACTATGAAGTGTAATTAATCGACCACTAGGCATTCTTTCGTCCTTTTATTTTATTTTTTTAATTTAGTTGATATGTGTTGTTTACATGCTTAGGGCTGTATGTTGCCCTCTTCAGCCAACTAATTTTTAAAAATATACACAATTATTACATGACATTCAATTGACAAAAACAATACAAATAGTTTACAAACATGCCTTCAAATATCTATCTTTGGGAACCAACTATAATTAATGTTTAAACACATTTTACAGAGTAGGTGTATAAATCTGTATGGATTATTATTCCTAGCTGTTTGTTTGGAAAAAATTTTTCACCAAAATTACTTTACTATACATGCAAATCAGTGTTTCAAATGACGTACCTGTTGTAGTACTTTCAGGACAATTTGGTTGATGTTCATTCATATCCTTTCAAAGGTGATGCATATGTGGGAACAAATCTTTCATTTTTCCTTACAGTTCTATCATTTTCAGAAAATTCACAATAAATTAAAACATAACAATAAGCATGTTAGACTTGAGATAATGTACCTCTTTTGCTCTGTTAAAATGTTTAAAAACATCATGTAATAATTGTGTATATTTTTAAAATTAGTTGGCTGAAGAGGGGCAACATAGAGTTTGAAACATGTAAACAACACATATCAACTAAATTAAATAAATAAATAAAAGGATGAAAGAATGCCTAGTGGTTGATTAATTACATTTCATAGTGTTTAAACAACAAACAGTATAGCAACACAGTTTCCAATTGGCAAAAAATACAATTGATATGAAAACGAAAAGTTAAACATTGATAATATAAGACTCCAAAATTGTTAATACTGTCAATCTGTTTAATTGGATGATCTTTAATAATAAAGGGAGTCAAAATATTTAGGGAGATCAAAATATTTATGTGGAGATTAATAGTTAGATTAAAAGTTTCAGGAATTGAAGTCAAAGTAGATAAATCTAACTGAAGAGATATAGGATCTATATTAATTTCAGATCTTTCACATACAATAAAATATAAGAATTAAAAAATTAGGCTAAATACTGAACCCTGAGAATTACTGCAAACTGGAGCAAAAGAATAAATGGTAAAATCACTCAATGAATTGCAAATGCATGTCATAAAAAAAATAATTATTCAGCAAAGAGATAATTGAAGGGTGAATATCAAAATAAGTCCTTAAAATGTCAAGCAATCTTGAGGGCAACAGTGAGTCAAAGGCATGTTTGATGTCAATATAAACAACAAAAGATGGTGTTTTAGCTTTGAAATTTTCAATAGCAGATTTCAATTGTAATAAATTTGTGCACTTAGTGTGGTAGGTTATACTAGTGGTTAAACTTTTTCAAGCTTTAGTTCCCAAGAAAAACAGTTATAACTTGTGACTCCTTGTCTACAGTATATATCCTGTGACCCCTTTTCCATTGATTAAATTTGTATAATTTTTCCTCTGTAGATTATTCTTTGTTTTCAATTTTTTTTTAATATAACTTATTATACCCAAAGCAATTTTTTTAAAAATGAAAATGACACTATTGTTTCTGGCCCCCTACTTTAAGAAGCTCTGGCTTAGACTACAGTATTAGTAAAGAGAAATACAAACTTGAGCAAAGAGAAAAATATAATCTAACAAGCAAAGTTCAAATATTTTCATTATGGCTGAAGATGTACAGTAGATCTGTAAGAGTTAATCTTTTAGGAATAGCTATAATATATGAAAAGCTGTTTCAGTAATATTGGGAAAATGCAAGATAAAACAACTATAGCAATTGGCAAAATGTGGGAGAAAAAATAGCAGGAATATGATCAGGACTATCTCAAGAATTAATTAGATATGGTCTTCTGGATAGTCACAAACAAAAATGGTGTGTGAGTTAGAAGCAGAAATATGGTTTTAAAGGAGAATACAAAGCTTGATTACTTATTTGAAAGTAACAAGATGTGGTGTTATTTTCAAATTGTTCTAAACTACTTTGTATTATTTCTAAACTTTTGGAACAAGAAAGTGTTTAAAATGTTCCATTTGTACTTAAACAATACTTAAAAGAACAAGCAACCTAATAAAGTAAGACCTTGTTTAACGCTGCCTCGATTAATGCTGATTTGATATAATGCAGTCTGCTTGAAGCCTTAAAAAAGGTTCAAAATTTATGCTGATTCTTTATGATATAAAACTGGTTGAAATTAAATTTTCTATCTTCAGGACAGTTTTAACACGAATATACAAGCTGGCTTTGTATACAAAGCAGGCATGTTTAAACAGGTCTAATGAGTCAACATGCTGTTTTAACTGATTTCTCAGATCACAAATATCAGTTATTTTCAACTTTTCTACAAGAGATTTAACTGTTGCTGCATGAAAGACTGCATAAGTTAAAGTCATTTGTAAGTTCATGGTTCATTATAATAATCTCTCTTTATTGTGCATTTCTCATCTCCTAAAAATGTCTGAAGGAGATACAGGAAAGGACACAACATCGCTCTCCAAAGAGAGAGAGAGAGAGTTTAGACCAGGGGATAGCAATGCATCACCAAATGTGAGATTTACATTTACATGTATATCCTGCAAGTCACCAATTTGCACACCAGGCTACCAAAATAATTTACTAATTTATACTTATTTTTTTTTTATGCTGTCTGGAAAGAGTGACCAAAAGTAACTATCTATTCTAGCTATTATTTTAAGATATTGTTTAGTCATCTGTCTGCAAAATTCACATTTGCTGTAAATGGGATTTTTTTAAATTCTTTGCCCTGTGGGCACTGAGAAGGCCTCTCTTAGAAAGTCCATTATGGGTTTGGCCAGGTGGTGAGGAAAGGTGCCCAACATATCCTGATGGACCACCACATGAAAAATTCTTGGGAGTTTGGGATCTTGGATCCCCAGAGTGGTAGGCTGTCACCTTGACTGCTCTGC